TGCAAAAACTACTTCTGTGGAATACAAGGGTCTCCGCCCTTCCAGGAGCGTCTCCTGGCCGGCTCCCTGGCTGTGGCCATCTCCCAGACCCTCATCAACCCCATGGAGGTAAGAGAACATCTGGCCCACAGGTGAGGAAACACCATGGAAATTAGGTACCCAGGTTGCTGGGGCTACTTCTGCCTTCTCCTTCCTCCCGGCCTCCTTCCCTCCTCCTCCCCTCCTCCCCTCCTCCTTTCTCCCTCCTCCCCCTTCACCTGTTCTTCCTCCTGCTCCTGTCCTCCTCCCTTCCTCCTTTGTGCCTCCTTCTCCCCTCCTCTTTTCTCCCTCCTCCTCCCTTCCTTCCCCCTCCTCCTCTCTTCTCCTACCTCTCCTTCCTCCCCTTCACCTCTTCCTCCTCCTCCTCTTTCTCCTTCCTTTCCCTCCTCCCCTTCATCTCTTCCTACTCCTCCCCTCCTTCCTCCTCCCCTCCTCATCCTCTCCTCTTTCTTCTCTTCTCCCTCCTCCCCTTCACCTTTCTCTCCTTCCTCCCTCCTCCTTCTCTCCGCTCCCTCCCCCTTTCTCCCTCCTCCTCTTTTCTCCCTCCTCTCCCTCCTCCCCCTCACCTCTTCACTGCCCTAAGGAGCCTCTGTTCTCTACCTATTCACTCCCTTTCTTTTCCCCCCAACCTTGATCTTTTTGCCATAAAGTTTTGCCCACCTCAGCCTCCCAAAGGTCTGGGATGACAGACGTGAGCCTTCTTCCCTCACTCTCTTGGCCTTTGCCAGCATTTGTGCGTCAGAACTCAAAATTCAGAGAGCATCCCAGAGAATCTGACTGATCCGGGTCTGAAACCCAGCTCTTTGTCTTCCTGAGCCTCACGTTCCTTGTTTGTAGGGTGGGGACAATGGCCACCCCTGAGGGTCACTGACAGGATTTAATCAAAGGAGCTGCCTCGTTCCCCACCATCCCCAGGTTCTGAAGACGCGGCTGACCTTGCGCCGGACGGGCCAGTACAAGGGGCTGCTGGACTGTGCCAGGCAGATCTTGGAGCAGGAGGGCACCCGCGCCCTTTACCGCGGCTACCTCCCTAATATGCTCGGCATCATCCCCTACGCCTGCACAGACCTGGCCGTCTATGAGGTATGGCTCCTGCAGAGGGGGTGGCGGGGACCACCAGAGCCCAGGCTCCTGGTGAGATTTCTCCTGGCCCCCTTCTCTTGCAGATGCTCCGGTGCTTCTGGCTGAAGTCAGGCAGGGATATGGGGGACCCCAGCGGCCTGGTCAGTCTGTCATCTGTGACGCTGTCCACGACCTGTGGCCAGATGGCCAGCTACCCACTGACTCTGGTGCGCACCAGGATGCAGGCCCAAGGTCAGCCAGCACCCCCACCCCCCCCAGCGGCCACTGCACATGCCCCTTCCCCGCCCCGCCCGGGTGGTCTCAATTTCTCATCCTCCAAAACCGAGTCCCACACCCTGCCTGTCTGATCCCCGCCCACCTTCGATGGCTTATTTGGGTGGAAACACCTGAAATCTAAGAGATTTGGGGACTGTGCGCAGGGCTAGTGTGGGGACACTTTTAAGAGTGGTGGATGAAGGACCTGTTTTGAGATTGGTGGATTATTTTGGGGGACTGAGTCCATTTGAGGCAGTCAGATTTGATTTTCTCTTATTTTTTTTTTTTTTTAAAGACAGAGTCTCACTCTGTTGCCTGGGCTGGAGTGCAGTGGCACAATCTCAGCTCACTGCAATCTCTGCCTCCTGGGTTCAAGCAATTCTCCTGCCTCAGCCTCCTGAGTAGCTGGGATTACAGGCATGCGCCACCACGCCCAGCTAATTTTGTATTTTTAGTAGAGACGGGGTTTCACCACCTTGTTCACGCTGATCTCGAACTCCCGACCTCTGGTGATCCACCCACCTCGGCCTCCTAAAGTGCTGGGATTACAGGCTTGAGGCACCATGCCCGGCCTTTTTTTTTTTTTTTTTGAAGTGGAATCTCACTGTGTCGCCCAGGGATGGGATCTCAGTTCACCGCAACCTCTGCCTCCTGGGTTCAAGTGATCTCCTGCTTCAGCCTCCCAAGTACCTAATTTTTGTATTTTTACAAATTAGCCCAGATCATTTTTGTTTATTTATTTATTTATTTATTTTATTCACCTGGATGCAGGTGGGCTAAGGCCGAATAGGGTGTTCGCCTATTTATTTATTTATTGAAATGAAGTTTCGCTCTTGTTGCCCAGGCTGGAGTGCAGTGGCACGATCTGGGCTCACTGAAAACTCAGCCTCCCAAGTTCAAGCAATTCTCCTACCTCAGCCTCCCGAGTAGCTGGGATTACAATGCACATGCCACTATCCCCGGCTAATCTTTGTATTTTTAGTAGAGACGGGATTTCACCATGTTGGTCAGGTTGGTTTCAGACTCCTGACCTCAGGTGATCTGCCCTCCTCGGCCTCCCAAAGTGCTGGGATTACAGGTGTGAGCCACTGCCCCTGGCTGGATTTGGGGAGTTCCCAGGATTACAAGGGAAATGGCAATGAGTTTTAAGGAACCCATGAAGACTTACTGTACTCACCTAAAAATCTGACCCCAGCCCTAAAATTTACCCTAATAAAAATCACTAAAACTGGCCAGGCTCGATGGCTCACACCTGCAATTCCAGCACTTTCAGAGGCCAAGATGGGCAGGTCACCTGAGGTCAGGAATTCAAGACCAGCCTGACCAACATGATGAAACTCCGTCTTTAAAAAAAAAAAAAAAAAAAAGTAAACTAAAAACGAATCAATTTCTTCTAAGACTCTTCAAAACTCCTTTCCTACTGACCCCACGGCCCCTACCTGTGGCTTCAGCAACTGCCCAAAACATTCCAGACTTCTAGGAGGCTGGGTCATCACTGGTCTAGTCCTGATCTTGCCTGTGTCCCTGCAGACACCGTGGAGGGCTCGAACCCCACCATGCGCGCAGTCTTCCAGAGGATCCTGGCCCAGCAGGGCTGGCTAGGGCTGTACCGAGGCATGACCCCCACGCTACTGAAGGTGTTACCAGCAGGTGGCATCAGCTATGTGGTGTACGAAGCCATGAAGAAAACCCTGGGCGTATAGGCTGTGAGCTGGACGACAGCCTAGGCTGAAATGGGATAGGTGGACCTGATGACCCCTGGCCCCAAAGAGCCCGAAAGGCCTCAAGACTCAGGCCCTTGAGCAGTTTTTGGTGGCAAAAGCAGGCTCGGGGTTGCCGGGGGAGCTGCTGGGTCAGAAGATTCCTAAGGCTCCCTCCCCAGGATGTAGCCTGAGACAAGAAACTTCGACTCCAGTCTGGGTCTTTGTGGGTCGACCTGGCTCCAGGGTGGAATGGTGAACATGGCAGACAACCAGGAATAAAGAGATGGTTTTGGCTGAAAGTGTCTGGATACCTGGGCCTAGGAGTGGAAATGGGTGCATGAGATCCCTGGATCCAGCAGGAGAGCTGGGGACCTTAGGACTCTGGGTCCTGAATGGGAATTTGTGTCCAGGAGAGGAGATAGGACCTAGGATAGGAGCTTGAGGCTTGGATCCCAGGGCCTTATGCGAAGGGAGTAAGGGGTGTGAAGTGAGGGGCTGCGATGCCTCGATCCAGGTTGTTGTGGACTCGGGTGGGGGCTGGCTCCTTGAGTCCTGCAACAGAATTTTTTTTTTTTTTTTTTTTTTAATAGTCTCACACTGTTGCCTGGGCTGGAGTGCAGTGGCACAATCTCTGCTCACTGCAACCTCAGCCTCCTGAGTAGCTGGGATTACTCCAGGCAGGAACTGCCCTGAGTAGCTGGCCCGCCACCACGCCCAGCTTATTTTATGTATTTTTAGAAGAGATGTGGGTTCACCATGTTGGCCAGGTTGGTCTCGAACTCCTGACCTCGTGATTCGCCCGCCTTGGCCTCCCAGAAGGCTGGGATTACAGGCGTGAGCCACTGTGCCCGCCCTTCCTGCAAGAGCTGAAACCTCTAGATGGGTGGAGGTCGAGAGAGAATAGGGCACTGGGGATCCCGGGTTTCCTGCTCTCCGGTCTCCCCATCTCCGGAAGCACTCGATCTCTAAGGCTTCAAGTAGGCCACGTGCCGGGCCTACCCAGCCAGGCTCCAGGGGAGCTAACCCAGACGTCAGGCCCGAGTTCGGGCAGCCGGTCACCACCGCCCACGTCGGCTGCCATTCACTCAAGCTCCCGCTAATCCCCTCTCGCAGTCTGGTGGCTGACTCCGCCCCAATGCAGCGGCGCTTCCACTGGCTCCCACCAAAACTGGGCGCCTTGATTTCCTTCCTTCCCATTTGTCCAGACCAGTGTCAGTTCCGAACACCCACCCATGTCGCTCAGCCATTGGTTTAGAAGTCAGGGATAGAAAAGGATTCTGGTTAACAAGGGAAGCAATTAAAGTCCAAAGCCAACCTCATCACCCAGAACTCATCAGGGATTGGATTAAGCTGACTACCCATCTTTACAAGCACCGCCCCTCACGTGCATTCATTGGCTTGCGCCCACGACTATCAAAACGAACGCCCACCCAGCCAGTCCAAAGGAGTCTTTCACTAGGCCCTGCCTTACAGTCCACGTGACTCTTTGGAACCGTCAATCTAGTTCTGAAGCCGCCCCGCGAATCTGGAACTCGCGCTTCATTGGGCCTCCTGCCTTCGCAGATCCCCGTCATTTGCCCGCCCAGCACCGGCTACTCGCAGCTATTGCCTCTGAGAGCTGTCGGTCACCCTGAGCCTCCCGCCCATTGCCGCTCGTTGCACTCCGATTGGCCGCCTCCTTCAGAGCCCGCGATTGGTGTCCGGGGTGCGGCGGCTGCCTCCCACTGGCCCGCCGGAGCTGTCCGTCACGCCGGCGGCGGGAGGGGGCGACCCTCTCCCCCCTCGTCGTCTTCCCAGCGGCTGGGTTCCCAGAGTGCTCCGCGGCTGTGTGGAGCGAGGCCTTGTTCCCGCGTTGAGCCGCCGCCGCCGCCGCCGCCTCCTCAGCTTCAGCCTCCGCGCCAGGCCCGGCCCCGCCGCGCCATGTCGGACTACAGCACGGGAGGACCCCCGCCCGGGCCGCCGCCGCCCGCCGGCGGGGGCGGGGGAGCCGGGGGCGCCGGGGGAGGCCCTCCGCCGGGCCCGCCAGGCGCGGGGGACCGGGGCGGCGGCGGCCCCGGCGGCGGCGGCCCGGGCGGGGGGTCGGCTGGGGGCCCCTCTCAGCCGCCGGGAGGAGGCGGCCCAGGAATCCGCAAGGACGCGTTCGCCGACGCGGTGCAGCGGGCCCGCCAGGTGAGGAGGCCGAGGGCCTGAGGGGCGCGCTCGCGCTCGCGCACGGGCGGGGGAGGGGGCGGGGGTCACGTGCGCGCGCGCGCGCGGGGTCGCGGAGGGGGGGCCGGGGCCGTCGCGGGGTCACGTGGGCGGTAGGCGGGGGCCTGGCCCTCCCGCGGTTCTTCGAGTGGGCTCCCTGCGGGTGACCCCCCTGCAGGAGGTAGGGGCGCACTGGGGGTCACCAGGAGCCGTCCTGGATGTGCAGGCGCCCCGGAGCTTGGGGATGCACTTTTGGGACTCCCTCACCCCCCCGCCGTCTTAGGACACGCCTGGAGGCAGGGGTCCACCTTACCGGGCGGAGGGTCTTGACCCTCTCCTCCATGTCAGGGCAAAGGGCAGATGTATGTCCCCAACTCAATCCATTTCTGTCCCCTCACTAGGAGGAAGGGACATTGTGGGGGTGGGAGGGACAGTCCTTTCTCTTGAGTCGGAAAAGTAGGTGGGGGACCTGTCTAGGGCTGAACGCCTGGGCGAAATGGGGTAGATGAGCATAGGGACTGGCTTTTGGATGGTTCCGTGGCTTGAAAGCATGGTCTGTGTCTTTGCGGGAAAGAGGGGAGGATCTCCCACCACCGTGTCTTGAGGCGTGATGACAACAAGGAAGTGTCACATGCTTTTAGGACTGACCTCTCCAGCTCCATTTTCAGCCTCTCCATGGCGTGGAGGGGTGGGGGTCGGTAGAATGGGAGGACTTTGCCGCCTTTCGGGAAACAGACAGGCTCCAGGGCTGTCCCAGTGCCTCCGGGGCTGGAGACTGGCTCCTCCCAAGGTGGGAGGTACCCTTAGGTGAACGCCTGTGTTCTGGCTCTCTGTGGTCTCTGACTTCCTCACCCTTGGAGTTGGGTGGGTTCTAACGTGCATTTGGTCTGATTGCCCAGGGAACTGTCTTGATTCTGGGGCAGTTTGAACGGAGGGAACTGTTGCTGTCAGTTGGTGGGGAAAGGCCCCCTGTGGGCATCCCATGAGCTTTGGCTCAAGGGCAGCATAGATTTTTCTGTGGAGACTGGTGAAAAGGGAGATTATTTAACCCAGACTCTGACTTTAAGTTTGATGGATTGAGGTTTCTTTAAAGTTGCTTTTCACATGTCTGAGATGTAACTTGTATCCCAAAGAGTCTTGTTTTGGGTGTTTTGTTTTGATTTTTGAGACGGAGTCTCTTGCCACCCAGGCTGGGGTGGAGTAGTGCAATCTGAGTTCACCACAGCCTCCGCCTCTTGGGTTGAAGTGATCCTCCTGCCTCAGCCTCTGAAGTAGCTGGGATTATAAGGGTGCACCACCACACGCAGCTAATTTTTGTATTTTTAGTATAGATAGGGTTTCACGACGTGTTTGGCCAGACTGGTCTCGAACTCCTGACTTCCAAGTGATCTGCCCACCTCAGCCTCCCAGAGTGCTATGATTGGATTACAGGCATGAGCCACCTCGCCACGCCATCCAGAGAGTCTTGTTTTGATCAGATGAGGATTTCATATACCTTGAAGTCCTCAAATTTTTTCAATAAATCGATACAAAGATTTTGAGAGTGAAGGAGATAGGGGAAAGTTGAACTCTTCAGCATCCCAGGAGAACTGAGCTAAAAAAAAAAAAAAAAAAAAAAAAACAACAACTGGTTATGTCAGCTGGGGCCACTGACAGGAGAAAGTGTCTGAAAGCTCCTGGAGATGACCTGGGGACCCTCCTTGGCACCCGAGCCTCTGTTCCTTTAACCCTTAGGACCAAGTCAGTGTGGATTGTAGGCTGGGCACAATTTTTTGTTTGTTTTTTTGAGACGGAGTCTTGCTCTGTTGCCCAGGCTGGAGTGCAGTGGCCACAATCTCGGTTCACCACAACTCTGCCTCCAGGGTTCAAGCAATTCTCCTGTCTCAGCCTCCCAAGTAGCTGGGAGTACAGGCGTGCGCCACCAACACCCAGCTGATTTTTTTGTATTTTTAGTAGAGACGGGGTTTCACCAAAGTTGGCTAAGCTGGTCTCGAACTCCTGACCTCATGATCCTCTCGCTTCAGCCTCCCAAAATGCTGGGATTGTAGGCGTGAGCCACCACACCCGGCCTGCTGGCCACAATTAAGACACAAATCCCAGCAGAAGGGAAGAGGGGAATTTTGATATTCCTGGATAGCTGGTGAGAACCTTGAGGCCTGGGTTCAAAACTCCTCCTAGGATGTCTTAACCAACAGACCCTTCCCTGAATTGGAGGGCCAAACACCAGGACTTGATGGGCTTTTGTAACCAGGAGATGTTCTGAGAAGTTGAGCTGGGCGCCATGGAGGGTTGTTTTTTGTGGTAATTCTTCTGTGCTTACTACTTTATTCTAGATCGCAGCCAAAATTGGAGGCGATGCTGCCACGACAGTGAATAACAGCACTCCTGATTTTGGTTTTGGGGGCCAAAAGAGACAGTTGGAAGATGGAGGTAACTCACTGCTGCTGCCTTTAGTTTAGGAGGAAGGGCTGGGGGCAGAAAGAGGTGCTTTTGTTTTGAGTGTGGTTCAGAGCGGGTGGGTGTTGCTGCTGTTTGGTCTTTTAAAACCTCAGCAGTCCTGGCTTTGTTAATTCTTTTTGTCCTGTCTGCCATCCTGAGGTATCAGGTGGCAGAGAGGAGGGCAGATTGATTGTGACTGGGTCGAAGTTAGAAGTTCCCAAGATGATTCCTCCCCTTCTGGGAGGCTGAGGCAACCTGGAGCAGTTAATGAGGCTTGATGTGAAGTTAACCCGGCCCTGGGGCGCGCACTGTGACCCCAAGTAGCTGGTGTAACCAGTGATCAACTCCTGACCAACTCTACTGTTACCCGGACGCCCCTCTCTGCTAGAGGCGGGTCCTGTCCTAAACCAGGAGGACTCAGGTGCCTGGTGGTGTTTGCGTGTTCTGAAGGTTTTTTTTACTCTAAGCATTGGTGGAGGGATTGGTGGAGTCTGGGTCCCCTCTGGAGCGGATCTCTCCTAGGCTCCTGTCTCAACTCTAAGGGTGGGGACAGAAGGGGACTGTTTACCTTGGACATGTGGCACCAGCATCAGGTTTGAGGCAGCCATGGGTGGGTGGGTGCTGCATCTGCCATCCTCTCTCTTTCCCAGATCAACCGGAGAGCAAGAAGCTGGCTTCCCAGGGAGACTGTAAGTCCAGGGGGTCTGCAGGCGGACATGGCTTCAGGGGCTTGAGGTTTTTCAGGAGTCAGGAAATAGAAGCACTGAGGAGGTGGCAGCTCTTTACAGAGCCTCCTGGTGCTTCCATTCTGGGGCCCATACATTTGAGGGATCCTAGGACCCCTGAAATAGAGGCAGATGTTCTCTGTGCTTTTGTGGGGAGGGGTCCACAGCACACATCAGGCACTGGAGTAGGCTGGGACCATGGTGCCAAGCTCTGCCCCCTCTGCCCCTGGGGCAGGCAGTGCCAGGTACCCAAGGAGGAGCTAAGCCAGTCTTTGCTTTGGGTTTTCTCTCTGCAGCAATCAGTTCTCAACTTGGACCCATCCATCCTCCCCCAAGGTAAGCCATGGTGGAGCCCACACGGCTTTCTCATCTGTTGGCCAGCAGACTGGCCTTTCTTGCTGACTTTGGGAGGGCTCTGTCTGGGTGCTGCAGCTCTCAGGTTTTATCCCCTATTGACAGTTGACCAGAAAGTGCTCAGACGGGAATGAGGCAGAGGAGCTGCCTCCATTCTTCTTGCCCCTTGTCTGAAGGGCTGTGGGAGGAGAGGGTCGTGGCAATCACTGTGGTGACAGCATGGTCTCCGTACCCTATGGCTTTCTCTGCTGGGGTGGGGACTCTGAGCAGCACAGATGTCTTCTTCTTAGGAGAGGCTGGGAGGGCCTTGCTTCCCTCCCTCATGCATCTTCTGCAAAGTGCTCATCCCACTCAGCGGTGTGCAGCTCAGGGCTCTTTGCCACCTTTTTGCCCCCCAGATGGACTGAGGTGAACCTGACACAGGTCAGTTGTGAGGGGTCAGTTTTTCGTTGGATTTTTTTTTTTTTTTTTGAGACGGAGTCTTGCTCTGTCGCCAGGTGCCAGGCTGGAGTGCAGTGGCGCGATCTCGGCTCACTGCAACCTCCGCCTCCCAGGTTTAAGCAATTCTCCTGCCTCAGCCTCCCAAGTAGCTGGGACTACAGGCACACACCACCACGCCCAGCTAATTTTTGTATTTTTAGTAGAGACGAGGTTTCACCATGTTGGCCATGATGGTCTTGCTCTCTTGACCTCGTGATCCACCCGCTTCGACCTCCCAAAGTGCTGGGATTACAGGTGTGAGCTACCGCACCCAGCCAGTTTTTCTTTTTCTTCTTCTTTTTTTAATGGGCCAGTAGTTTCATAAACTACTAGGAAAATGAGATGAAAAGGACATACAGCCAGCTTATTTAGAGATGAAAGGCATAGAGTGACTGTCAGCTTGCTGGGAAAGTGTCTCAGCGATGGAAAGGCACCAGGCCACAGGCCACACTGCCCCAGACCAAGCCTCTCAGGGCACAGATCGGGTAACTGAAGTCTCGAGAGTGTTTGTGGCCTGACTGGTCAGATTCTGCTTAGGCCTACGGCAGCTGTGGCTTCATGTAGCCCTCCCAGAGCTTCTGTCCTCTCTTCCCACTGGAGGACTGACCTTTGGTGTGTTTCTTTACAGGACTTCAATGACAGAAGAGTACAGGGTCCCAGACGGCATGGTGGGCCTGAGTGAGTGTGGGTCACTTTGGGTGGGGAGGCCCACTCTTCCCCAGGAGGAAGTGTCCTGTGAGCTCCTGCCAGTGCAGAAGCACTGGTCTGAGAGGGCCCCTCTGTGCTGTTCTCATTTGCCCCTCCTTTGTTCCCTCCTCATACTTCGCTTTTCTCTTTTTTTCCTCCATCCAGTCATTGGCAGAGGAGGCGAACAAATTAACAAAATCCAACAGGATTCGGGCTGCAAAGTACAGATTTCTCCAGGTACAAGACCATCAGGTTCCTGCCAGAAGGGGGGCCGGGGTTGAACCCTTTGCACTTCCCTTTAATTACTTAATTTCCACGAGGACTGTGGACAACATTCGAGGTGGCGCTTGTTGGTGCTTAACTACAGACCAGGCTCAGCACAGCATCTCACTCCACTAGTACTGCCCACGGGGTGCAGCTGTGACTTTATTTTCAGTGGGTTGGGACGGAGTAAGGTGGCAGGGCTAGCACTGCCCACAGGGGCCTGGTTGCAGACACCGAGCTCCTAGCCACTGTCCTGCCCTGCTGCCTGAGTGACAGCACCCAGCAAGACTGCGCCAGGCAGGGTAATGTGTTGGAAAGAGTCATTGCTCTGAAGTCGGGCCCAGGTCCAGAACCCAGTTCTGGCTGCATATCTACTCTGAGACAATATAGTTATTTCTTTGGTTCTCAGGGTCCCGAGTTGCAAAAAGCCTGCTTGGCAGGGGGTTCTGAGGCTTCACTTTGGATGTGTGATACGTGCTGTCTGTAGAAGAGGCTCTGGTGGTCATCACTGGTAGTGGGAGTGGCCAGGTCCTAGACCTTCTAGAATCTGCTCTCCCTCCACCTCATCCTTTTCCCTAAAAGACCTGCCTCCCTTCCTGGGCTTTAAGCTTCCTGACCTCAGCCTTGCATCAGGCAGCCTCCCAGGTGTTCGGAGGAAGTAAACTGATTTGTCAGGCTGCTGAATGGGACAGAAGTGACCATTTGTTGTTCTGAAAGTTTCTTGATGTCCAAGGCAGACCTTTCTCTGCCCGTGGACCAGGGAGGGCACTGACTCTGTCTCCTCTTTCCAGACAGCGGTGGCCTACCCGAGCGCAGTGTGTCCTTGACAGGAGCCCCAGAATCTGTCCAGTAAGTCCCCACGGGGCCTCTCATTGTGATGCAGGGGGCAGGCAGAAGCCTGCTGTGTCCTTTTGAATTCAAAGTTGGGAGTGACTTGCACACCGTGTCCTCTACTCCTGCCCACTCTCCAGAGAGCCACGTTAACAGGCTGATTCCCTGGCAGTCTAAGACCTGGGGAACCTGGAGCTCAAGCAGCCCCAGCAACTGGCCCTTCTTCCTTGTCATCCTTGCACAAGTTGGGATCACCTTCCCCTTGAGCTGGGTGGGCCACCAGACCAGTACCTTTTTCTCCATTGGTGGCACCCACTCCTCCCCTTCCCAGGAAAGCGAAGATGATGCTGGACGACATTGTGTCTCGGGGTCGCGGGGGTCCCCCAGGACAGTTCCACGACAACGCCAACGGGGGCCAGAATGGCACCGTGCAGGAGATCATGATCCCTGCGGGCAAGGCCGGCCTGGTCATCGGCAAGGGCGGGGAGACCATTAAGCAGCTACAGGTGAGGGCAGTGCCGGGTGGCTTCCTCTGCATCCACATGCCCCTCACCACCACCACCACTACCACAGCAGCCCAGGAAGTCCTGGGAGAGCCCAGCACTAATGGTTAACCTTGGTTGTAAAGGAACGTGCTGGAGTGAAGATGATCTTAATTCAGGATGGATCTCAGAATACAAACGTGGACAAACCTCTTCGGATCATTGGGGATCCATACAAAGTGCAGGTGAGCATGCTCTGCAGTAGTGGTGGGGTTCCAGAGTAGCGTGGGCAGGTTGGTAGGCCCAGTGGCCTGGGATCTGCATTCGGCCAGAGAGGTATGTGCATGGTTGTAACATGGTGAGACTTGCAAGTGCGCTGGCTCGGAAGGCGGCCCTGAACTGTCTCCCAGCTATGTGTGTGTGAGCCAGCGGCCTCATCTCTGATTTTCCACTTTCTTACCTGGAAACGGGGCTGCTTGCAGTGTCTGTGCATTAAAGTGGCAGGTGGAGAGCTCAGTAGGGTGCTGTGCTGGGCTCAGCCAGGGTTCGTGGATCCCTAGCTGAGGGCTCACCTATGGGGGCTGCCGCCTATGTGTTTGCAGCAAGCCTGTGAGATGGTGATGGACATCCTCCGGGAACGTGACCAAGGCGGCTTTGGGGACCGGAATGAGTATGGATCTCGGATTGGCGGGGGCATCGATGTGAGTGTGGGCCCCGACTTTACCCCCTCCACACCCACCCCATGGAGGGAGGGGCCGGGGTGAGTGGCTTCTCATGGCCAGTGGACAGCAGAGGGCAGCAGAGCTGCAGGCCAAGCTGACCCAGCCACTGCCCTCTCCAGGTGCCAGTGCCCAGGCATTCTGTCGGCGTGGTCATTGGCCGGAGCGGAGAGATGATCAAGAAGATCCAGAATGACGCTGGCGTGCGGATACAGTTCAAGCAAGGTCAGGGCTTGGCCCACCCTTCCCCTAGCCAGCAGCCCCCTTGGGGAGGCAGACTCTGAGGCAGCTGGGCACCGTGGTCAGTCAGGTGGTCTCCTTCGAGTACCTCGCTGCTCCTAGTCCAGCTGTCAGAACATGCCCGGTCCCTTTCTTCTGGGATGGCCACGAGAGGGTGACATGGGCTTTCCAAGTCTGGGGGGATGTCCCTATCATGTCTTCTCTTCCTCTCCCACGTTGGAGCCCATCCTGACAAGACAGTCCAGGCACCCCACAGGCTGGGTCAGGCCACTCTACCTCAGCTCTGGGCTCTTGCCAGCCCTCAGCCAGTCTCTGAGCAGCCTGCCATGGGGAGAAGGGCTTCTCTAGTTTTCAGGTTTATTCTGTAAAATCTCTCAGTGCTGGAGGTGCCGGGTGCTGGAAGAAGCCTGAGCCACCCCCTGGCTTGGCCGTGGGTTTCCTTCTCTGGGAATGTGGGCCGCCTCCCCGTCAATTCCTGAATGGGTGGAAGCTGGGAGCAGCGATACATGTCTGAGATCTCACGCCAGCTTGGTGTCTGCCCTAGAGAGGCAGTGTTGCAGGGCGCTGGGGGTGGGCTCTTTTAAACTTGTCTCTCTGCCCTCTCGGTGCTGGCTGCAGACGATGGAACAGGGCCCGAGAAGATTGCTCATATAATGGGGCCCCCAGACAGGTGTGAGCACGCGGCCCGGATCATCAACGACCTCCTCCAGAGCCTCAGAGTAGGTGGTCCTGGGTGCTGACGGGGATGATGGCAGGGCCTCCAGGGCAGTGCTGTGGCCAGAGCGGCTTCCAGGGTTCATCCTCTTAATCTTCCCCTTGTTTTGCAGAGTGGTCCCCCAGGTCCTCCAGGGGGTCCAGGCATGCCCCCAGGGGGCCGGGGCCGAGGAAGAGGCCAAGGTAACTGGGGCCCTCCTGGCGGGGAGATGACCTTCTCCATCCCCACTCACAAGTGTGGTCTGGTCATCGGCCGAGGTGAGCGTGGCCCCCTGTGCCCTGTCCCTTGCCCCCTCTCCCCTGGGCCACCACTGCAGGCCACCTTCACCTGCGTTTCTACCCAGGTGGCGAGAACGTGAAAGCCATAAACCAGCAGACGGGAGCCTTCGTGGAGATCTCCCGGCAGCTGCCACCCAACGGGGACCCCAACTTCAAGTTGTTTATCATCCGGGGTTCGCCCCAGCAGATCGACCATGCCAAGCAGCTTATCGAGGAAAAGATCGAGGTGGGCTGGGGAGGGCTCTGGGGGCTTGGGCTCACAGCCCGGATCCCAGCCCACTCACCTTGGCCACTCTCCTTCCCTCCAGGGTCCCCTCTGCCCAGTTGGACCAGGCCCAGGGGGCCCAGGCCCTGCTGGCCCAATGGGGCCCTTCAACCCTGGACCCTTCAACCAGGGGCCACCCGGGGCTCCCCCGCAGTGAGTATCCCTCTCTGCCTCTTGGGCTTTAGGGTTGGGGGGTCACTGAGCTGGCAGGAAGTGCCACCTCCGTAGAGGTGCAGGTGAGGGGCCTTGTCCAGTCTGTTTTTGTGGACAGCGTCAGCAGGCTCTCTCCTGTCGACTGGTAAAGCACACGCTCCTTTCAGCATCCTTCCGTGTACCTAGAACTTTGAGGGCTTGTTTTGTGTGCTTGAGCTGACACTACACGTCCTTCATGTTGCTTCTCATCTAGGCCTTTCTCTGGTGTCTTGTTGAGCCTGGTGGTCTGGGTCTCTGGCCCCTCCCCACTCAAAAACGCATGCCCCAGGTGGGCGGGCTTCGGCCCCCCGGCACTGCTGCTCACACATCCCTTCTCTCCTGCAGTGCCGGGGGTCCCCCTCCTCACCAGTACCCACCCCAGGGCTGGGGCAATACTTACCCCCAGTGGCAACCGCCTGCTCCTCATGACCCAAGTAAGTGATGGGCCACCTGGGGAGGGTGGGCCCTGCTCTGTGCCCGAGTCTAACCTGGCGTATCCCTTCCTTCTGCAGGCAAAGCAGCTGCAGCGGCCGCGGACCCCAACGCCGCGTGGGCCGCCTACTACTCACACTACTACCAGCAGCCCCCGGGCCCCGTCCCTGGCCCTGCGCCGGCCCCCGCGGCCCCACCCGCTCAGGGTGAGCCCCCCTCAGCCCCCACCCACCGGCCAGTCGGACTACACTAAGGCCTGGGAAGAGTATTACAAAAAGATCGGTGAGTCTGCAGGGCGGCGGGGGGCTCCAGCTCTGCCGGGGTAGTGGATTCTGACCTGTCTCATTGCCCCCACAGGCCAGCAGCCCCAACAGCCCGGAGCACCCCCGCAGCAGGACTACACGAAGGCCTGGGAGGAGTACTACAAGAAGCAGGGTGAGTGGCCGCTCTGTGGGGACAGAGGTGGGGACAGCCCTCACCTACAGCCTCTCACCTGGCTCTGCCCACCCACAGCGCAAGTGGCCACTGGAGGGGGTCCAGGAGCTCCACCAGGCTCCCAGCCAGACTACAGTGCCGCCTGGGCAGAATATTACAGACAGCAGGCCGCTTACTACGGACAGACCCCAGGTCCTGGCGGCCCCCAGCCACCGCCCACACAGCAGGGACAGCAGCAGGCAAGTGGGAATTGCCACCCTCCTCCTCCTCCTTTCTCCTTCCAACCCCCGGCCACCGTCCATCCTGCCTTAGTGGGTAGCGCCGGAAACCCCTTCCCCTGCGGGGTGTGCCCTTGATGCCTGCTGCGGGGGCCGTGTGGCCGGAGGTCTCCGGGAGTCCCCACGCACCGCCAGGGAAGCGTTCGCTGGGTCCAGAGGTTAAACGAAGAGGCCTCCCTGCGCCGGCTGCTTGTTCCTGTGTGCCGCTGTCGTGATGCTGGGGAGCGCTGAGACTCGCAGGCGGGACTTCTGAACTGCTGGGGAGTTGGGGGGCAGGCAGACAGCGCGGACGGTGGGCACCGGCCCGGCCGCCACCTCGCTCACAATCTGGCCACTTGGGAAGAAAACGTCTATTTTTTCCCCTTCTCTGCATCAGTTTTTTGGTTTTTGTTCTTTTTATTTTTTAAACCCATGATCTTTTTTCCCATGTCCAAGTGACTGTTGCAGGCGGCCCGGCTCTGGCAGGGACTGGTGGGGACTTGGGGAGTGGCCCAGGCCCCTGCCCTGCCGGGCTAGACCTCCCATGCGCTCGCGCTTGCCTGTGTCCCGGGCTTGTCTGTGAAGTGGGCGTGAAGATCGTTGCCACCTTCCAACCTACCTCACAGGGGTGTTGTGGGGACACCGTGATCTCTGGATTGTTCATGTTGTTGTGCTGTGCCGGGAGCCGCTGTCCTCCGGAGACAGGGCAGCTCCCCTCCGACCCTAGCGCCTCCACCCTCTGCGGCCCGCTCCTCTCTTCCTGCTCTGTCCCTCCTTCTCCATCAGGGAGCAGCGTGACTTCAGCGAGTCCTGCCAGCACCTGGCTAGACAGTTAACAAGCACGTCCTTCCAGCCTGAGCCAGCGCAGGTTTGGGAGGGGCCTTCGTGGCCCCCCCCCCCTTGGTGTTCCAGCCCCTCCTCTCTTCCGCCCCCTAGTCTCCCACCCTCCCCTCCCCGTAGTGACCGATTCCTATCTCTTCCCTCTCCGCAGGCTCAATGAATCGAATGAATGTGAACTTCTTCATCTGTGAAAAATCTTTATTTTTTTTTTCCATTTTGTTCTGTTTGGGGGCTTCTGTTTTGTTTGGCGAGAGAGCGATGGCTGCCAGGGGGAGTATCGGGGAGCCCTCGCGGCACGTGGGGTGGGGGGCTTGGGGGTGTGCCGGTCCCTCACTCTCTCGCCCGTTCTGTGTCTCACATGCCTTTTCTTTCAAAATTGGGATCCTTCATGTTGAGCCAGCCAGAGAAGATAGCGAGATCTAAATCTCTGCCAAAAAAAAACCTTTAAAATTAAAAAACACAAAGAACAAAGCAGAACTTATAAAATTATATATATATATATTAAAAAGTCTCTATTCTTCACCCCCCAGCCTTCCTGAACCTGCCTCTCTGAGGATAAAGCAATTCATTTTCTCCCACCCTCGGCCCTCTTGTTTTTAAAATAAACTTTTAAAAAGGAAAAAAACAGTCACTCTTGCTATTTCTTTTTTTTTAGTTAGAGGTGGAACATTCCTTGGACCAGGTGTTGTATTGCAGGACCCCCTTCCCCCAGCAGCCGAGCGCCCTCCTCTCCTTTCCTTTCCTCTCTCCTCTCCCCTCCTCTCCTCCTGCCCTGGCTCAGCTCCCTCGGCCCTGCCCGCCCCCTCCCAGGACTGGTCTGTTGTCTTTTCATCTGCTCAAGAGGAGATTGAAACTGAAAACAAAATGAGAACAACAAAAAAAATTGTATGGCAGTTTTTACTTTTTATCGCTCGTTTTTAACTTCACAAATAAATGATAACAAAACCTCCCCGTCTGCGGGTGCTGTCTGTCTCTCCCCCGCTCTCTCCCTCCCTCCCCGTAGTTTTGAAGCAGATGTTTGTTCTTTATAGATGTTGTTTAAAAAGCCTGATAATGGTGATTGAAAATTACAAACTTTGTGTTTTTTTTTTTTTTTTTTAAGGAAACAAATATAGGAGAAAATAGTTTTCTTCAGGCGCAATGTGCTTTCCTAATGCTGCCCCCCCTCCTTTTTTTTGTTAAATAAAGTGCTTTTTGTTTAAAAAAAAAAAAGATGATGCTGGCCGCAGTTGTGTTTTCAAGAGGAAGCAAGTTGAAGAGCAAGTCTCAGCTGAGGAGAGTGGGCTGTGGTCCCCCAAGACGTTCCCTTTCTGATGTGGGAACGGGAGGCCGGCACTGCTGTCTTTCCCCACCCAGTTTCCCTCCAGGATCTGGGGAGCAAAGCACTCAAGAAGGCCCCAGGGACAGGTGTTCCCACGGACGCACTGTTGGCTACAGGAGGTCCTCTGGCCTATTGAGATTCAGAGCCCTGAGGTAGGAGCCAGGCCCTTGCCAATGCTTGCTGGATGACTGGACCAAATGGGAGGTGGGAGAGGGCAACGAGGGGCAACTCGAGCTGTTTGGCCCAGGGGTATCTTGCGGCCCCCAGTGCAGCTGCAGGGTCTGAGATTGTGGCTGAATGCCAGCATTAAAACGCAGCCTTTTGGCTCATGCCTGTAATCCAAGCACTTTGGAGGCCAAGGCAGGCAGATCACCTGAGGTCGGGAGTTCAAGACCAACCTGACCAACATGGTGAAACCCCATCTTTCTTTTAAAAAAAAAAAAAAACTCAGGCTTTATCACACATGTCCTGGGCTCAACGGCCCGCTGACAGCCCCAGCAGGAGCCAGTAACAGCTGCGGCCTCTAGAGGGGGCTGTTCATAACCCGCCGCGCCCACCCACCCAAGCGTGCCAGGCACCTGCCCCAGCAGGCGTGATCCTTGGTGGCCCCCGGCCAATCTGCCTGGTAGGGAAACTGATGCAGGAGGGGGCAGCTGTTGCTCAGGAATCATGGGGGTCATTGGTCCGCTTGCTGGAGGTCTCACCTCCTAGGCATCCACCCCTCCCACAGCCTGCATGGTTCTGGTTGAGGGGCAAAGCCCACCCCCAGCCCCTCCATCTCACTGCAAACTCTCAATGACCAAGCAGCACTTAACGAAGATGTTCTCTGGTGTTTCCTCTGCCAGGATCTAGAGAAGAGGAGCTGCAGGGGTCAGGTCTGGGTCCCATGGCAGGGATATCACCCTCTACTGCTCAGAGTCTGGGAAAATCTCAGAGCTATGCAAGTGAAGGGAGGTGGGGAAGTGAGTCAGGTATGTTTGTGTTACTGATTGCTATGTGAGGGTTCGCAGAGAGTCCTCACCAGCGTCCCATTGCCTGCTCACATGTGCTGAGGCCGGTTCCCCAGGGCATTTCCTGAGGAAATGGAATCCCCAGGTTACCTGGTGGGAAAGCAAAGACCAGCCCCACGTAACCCGGTGTTGTTGAGGCCAGACTTGTTCCCTTGGGGCTGGGATGCATGAGCCAGAAGCGGGGGGCACCTACGTTTTGGAGCAGGTTATTCTGCTGGTAGAAGGTCAAGACCGGCTCACACAAGGTGTAGTGCGTCTCCAGATGCTGACGGAGAGCCAGCTCCGAGTCGTCTGCCCCGTGCTCCACCTGGCCCCAGGGCAGCACTCGCCAGACGACCGTCTCCATAGAGCGGTCAAACACCATGACCACACTGGGGACCTGGCTCACCCAGGAACCCAAACAAGGGGGCCCAGTGAGGAGGGACCTGGCACGGTGGCCCCAGAACCCGGGCTACCCCAGAAACCAGGTTATCTAGTATTACATGGACAGGGATCAAAGAAGCCACCCTGGTCTGTTGTTGTTGATTTTTAGTAGAGACAGGGTTTTGCCATTTTGGCCATGCTGGTCTCAAACTCCTGACCGCAGGAGATCCACCGCCTTGGCCTCCCAAAGTGCTGGGATTACAGGCGTGAGCCACCTCGTCCGGCTTTTTTTTTTCTGTGTGACAGAGAGCAGGCTGGAGTGCAATGGTGCAATCTCAGTTCACTGCAACCTCTGCCTCCCAGTTTCAAGCGATTCTCCTGCCTCAGCCTCCCAAGTAGCTGGGATTACAGGCATGCACCATGCCCAGCTAATTTAGTAGAGACATGGTTTCACCATGTTGGTCAAGCTGGTCTCGAACTCCTGACCTCAGGTGATCCGCTTCAGCCTCCCAGAGTGCTGTGATTACAGGCGTGAGCCACCGCACCTGACCTTGTTTGATTTTTCTAGTTCAAGTTTTATGTATTTAGTTTTTGGAGAGAGAGGACAGGATAGTCAGAGTGAATCATCTTGCCGTCTCCAGCCGCCCAGGGTCACCCTCCCTGGAGGCAGCTGAGTACCTGTTCTGTGTCTCCTTCGGAAGCTATGTGAGGCATGCACACTGCAAGCAAATATGGTTCTGATACTTTTTTCCTACTTTTATTTATTTTTCTTGGAACAGAGTCTTGTTCCGTCACCAAGGATGGAGTGCAGTGGTGAGATCTCAGCTCACTGCAACATCCACCTCCTGGTTCAAGCGATTCTACTGCCACAGCTTTACAAGTAGCTGGGATTACAGGCACCTGCCACCACACCCAGCTGATTTTTGTGTTTTTAGTAGCGATGGGATTTTTACCATGTTGACCAGGCTGCTCTTGAACTCCTGACCTCCTTATCTGCCCGCCTCAGCCTCCAAAAGTATTGGGATTACAGGCATGAGCCACCGCACCCAGTTGAGGATGGACTTTTAAATGATGTTGAGACAACTAGACAGCAATTTGAAAAAAAATTGGCTCCCTCCCTCGTTTCAAAAAGGAGGATAAGTCCTAAATAGATGAGAGGTATAAAATGTGAGAAATAAAACCATACAGGCTGGGTGCGGTGTCTCATGCCTGTAATTCCAGCACTTTGGGTGGCTGAGCTGGGTGGATCACTTGAACCCAGGAGTTCAAGACCAGCCTGGCCAATATGGTGTAACCTCATCTCTTCTAAAAACACAAAAAGCCAGGCATGGTGGCACATGCCTGTAATCCCAGCTACTCTGGAGGCTGAGGCAGGAGAATCACTTGAACCTGGAAGGCGGAGGTTGCAGTGAGCCAAGGTCACGACACTGCACTCCAGCCTGGGCAACAGAGTGAGACTCTGCCAAAAAAAAAAAAAAAAAAAAAGCCAAAAACCTGTAAGAAAAGAAGAAAAAAAGCAAAAAAAGTAAGAGTTTAATGAAGACAACAAAACAGCCTTTAAGCTTTTTGTATTTTTAGAGACAGAGTCTCACTCTGTTGCCTGGCCTGGAGTGCAGTGGCAAGATCATAGCTCGCTGCAGCCCTGAACTCTTGGGCTCAAGTGATCTCCCACCTTAGCCCCCTGAGTAGCTGGGACTACAGGTATGTGCCCCTGTACCCAGTTTGGCCCTCAAACTTTGGAAAATAAAACCTCATTTGTAGCCAGAGAAATGCTCATTACAACCACACTGAAATACCACTTCTCACCTACACAGGTTGACAAAAATCCAAAAGTTTGGCAGCATGTTCTGTAGGTCTCACTGTAAATGTAAAATGAAGAGGCATTTAGTGATGGCTAGCAAAATTATCTATGCATTTCTCTTTAATCCAGCAATTCCACTACTAATCTGTTTGAAGGATACTAGCAAAAAGGTGAAATGACTTGCAAAGATTTTTTTTTTTTAATTGTTTTATTTTTTTGAGACAGTCTTGCTCTGTTGCCCAGGCTGGAGTGCAGTGGCGCAATCTCGGCTCACTGCAAACTCCGCTTCCCGGGTTCAAGTGATTCTCCTGCCTCAGCCCCCTGAGTAGCTGGGATTACAGGTGCACACTACATACCTGGCTGATTTTTGTATTTTTAGTAGAGATGGGGTTTCACCATTTTGGCCAGGCTGGTCTGGAACTCCTGGCCTCAAGTGGTCCACCGCGTTGGCCTCCCAAAGTGCTGGGATTACAGGCATGAGCCACTGCACCTGGCCTTTTTTTTTTTTTTTTTTTTTTAAACTTCGCTATATATCCAGAAGATCTCACATCAGAGTTAAGAGATCTTCCTTTTTCCTTTTTTACAGCTGTGTTGTATTGCATTGTGTGGCTGAGGCAGGAGAATCGCTTGAACCCGAGAGGTGGAGGTTCCAATGAGCTGAGATTGCACCATTGCACTCTAGCCTGGGCAACAAGAGTGAAACTCCATCGCAAAAAAAAAAAAAAAAGTAAAGTAAAGAGGAGGTGGGGAGGAGAGGGGAAGGGAGGGGGAGATGAAGGGAGGGGAGTGGAGGGGAAATTTGGAAAATCCTTTGCCTCTATTGAACAGGTGCAGACTTTTTTTTTGAGACAGGGTCTGTTTTTTTTCCCACACCTGATAATGTCCAAAATAAAATTCTTTTTTTATTTCTTCGAGACAAGGTCTCGCTCTGTCCCCCAGGCTGGAGTGCAGTGGTGCAATCATAGCTCACTGCAGCCTTGAACTCCTGGGCTCAAGCGATCTCACTTCACCCTCCTGAGTAGCTGGGACCACAGGCGTGGGCCATCTCGCCTAGCCCAGAATTTTTCCCTCATCTTTGTTACCTAAACAATACAGCATAACAACTATTCACATAACATTTAATTGTTTTAGGTATTACAATAATCTAGAGATGATTTACATTATATGGGAGGGTGATCGTAGGTTCTATGCAAATACTATGCTACTTTATTATTTAACTCTTTGTAAATGTAAGTTTTGAGGCCGGGCGTGGTGGCTCACGCTTGTAATCCAAGCACTTTGGAGGCCAAGGCGGGCGGATCACCTGAGGTCGGAAGTTCAAGACCAGTTTGACTAACATGGTGAAACCCCGTCTTTATAAAAAAAATAAAAATTAAAAAAAAAAAATGTAAGTTTTTTAGAGATGGGGTCCCACCATGTTGCCCAGGCTGGCCTCAAACTCCTGGGTTCAAGCGGTCCTCCCACCTTGGCCTTCCACAAGTGCTGGGATTACAGGTATGATCACCACACCCAGGTGCTACTATGTTATTTTATATCAGGAACTTGAGCTTCCATGGATTTTTGTATCTGAGACAGGTCCTGGAACCAATCTCCCATGG